CACATATGAAAATGAAGATACAGAACAGGGAACATCAAGAAATACAAGAAATAGATTTATTAATTTATTTGCTGGAAGGGGAAAACAAAATAAGAAATAATAATATAAAAAATAATAAAAATAAGTAATATTACGTAATATTTTTTTAATTTTTTTTAAAAATTTTTAAATTTTTTTTGGATTTTTTTAAATTTTAAAAAACTAAAAAGGAAAGGTACACAAATATAAATTATCAAATTAATTAAATCACTTTCTATTTCTTTTATTTTTAAATTTACTTTCACTACTATTAATCTTTTGTCTAACTTTATCGATAATATGTGAAACTTCTTTAAACGAAATACAACCATCAATGGTACTGTTATTAGTTTCCATGAATTTATAAATTTCCTTTAAAAGATCAGCATCTTCAATATATGTAAATTCAGATAATTTTTCATTTCTCTCTGTATCTGAAAGTCCATCGTATTCTTCATCAGTAATGACATCAACTCCTTTTTTAAAATTATTAATCGCCCATCTATAAAATTTATATTTTAAAATATTTGGTATTGCTGAATTATTACTAATTATAATAATATTTTTATCTTTGTATTGTTCCTTACTAACAATACTTCGTTTAATAAGATCGTATGATAAATGTAAAGAATTGGTATTTGGATCGTCATCTTCTACACGATCAATAAGTATAACATCACTATTCTTAAGTTTTGGATCTAATTTATAAATCGCCACCATAGTTTTTCTTAAAAGTTTATCTTTGGTTTGTTGATTGACATTGATATAAAAATATTCTGGTTCTTTATCTTCTCGATTTTCTTTAAGTTTATTATAAAAACTAACAAGTTTAACTGAAATTTCTGACGTGTAGCTTACATTGGTGAAGCCTTTGTATGTTAAATTACTCTTTCTTAGATCTTTTGTATAATTATTCACAACATCTCCAGTATCCAAACAAACATATACTGCATATTTTCCATTATCTTCCATTTTATCTTTTGTTTTAATATTTGGATTTTTTTTTGATTTCCTTTTATTTTTTTAAATTTTTTTTATAACATTTTTAGTCACACAAAAATTTTACCTTATTATTAATATGAATAATTAAATTAATAATAATTAATTTTTATTTATATT